TAGGGGTTAGGAAAGTACCCAGGGATTGGACGATTGCCACCGTGGTAGCCGTCCATTAAAGAAAAGATAGGAAACAACCTAGTAACTACAGACCCGTAAGTTTGATCAGCGTGCTGCGTAAGGGTTTAGAAACCATAGTTAGGAATGCTCTGTGTGAGTACGTCACTCTATTTATTTATTTTAACACGTACCCATTTACACAGAATTGACAAATGTGCCACAATATGTAAACAAGAGATCTATAGAATGTGCTCATAGGTTGTGGGCATATTACCGGTTGCCATAACCAAGTAAGGGGGACAACCTCAAGGTCCCTACCCGAAGCCTTTGGTTAGAAAATCAAACCTTCAAGATAACAGGGCTGAGCTCGGAGTCTGCAGACAATAGGGGGCCGGGGTCCATTTCATTAGATCATACGCCCTTTGGACGGGGTCAAACGTCCAAAGTGCCCAGTATACTTTGATGCCCAATCAAGCCGGTGATCACTGCAACAACCGGGAAAGTGTGTGGTTCGTAGGCCTTCTTTTTTGTTGGTTTGGAATAAGAGTTTTAGCCAACTTCCCTAGGTGAACTACCAGTGGTCCACCAACCCGGTTATAGTCCCAAATGTCGGCTTTTCATTCTCTCACTTTGGTGGCAAAATATCTCCACGAGAAGGCAGTGAGTAGGGCTTCCTCAGCAGTGGTTATTGGAGAAACTTGGTTATATAGGAGCATTTCGCGAGGTGCAGGGGAAGAGTGACCAGCCGCAAATTTAGACACCCACCCCGACCATACTGAGGCTTTCGGAGGCACTCAATATAAATTGATTAANCCCATCCAGCCCAGTTTTGCTCGAATGAATTTTCAAGGAAGTTAGATGGAGGGCCGAACGTTGAGGACTTCAGGAAGGCATTCGACTCTGTAAATCACCGGTTCCTGCTAATTAAGCTCAGGGGAATAGGGGTTACGAGGGCGCTGATAGAGAGATTGCACAAACCAGGTTACCGTTCTCTGTGCGTTACCTTGATAACTACGCATCCAGAACCCTCGAGAGAACACCTCAACGTTCTCACGGTGACAGCTGATCCCATTGCAAATGCAAACTGCGAGAATTCTCAGAAGAAGGTCAGGCTTCCCCTGACAGAAAGCATTCTGGTGCGCCTAATCTGGTGGACTCAGCATACATCAGAGATAAATAATTCTCATTTTGTTGTTCACCACGATCACGTGCTTAACTAAAAACACTGGTGATTTTTCAAATCAGATTTTAAACTCCACCGAAATAGACAGGACTTCTTTCCCCCAACTAATACGGTGGTAATACGTTTTATTTTTCTGCACTTTCTGGCAGATCCTTTACACTGTCACCTGAAGCATAATAAGCATTAACGAACGGAATACATCTGATGGGGCAAAAACAAGGAAAGCTCCGACAGGATGTTGTAGATGAGCTTGTCCGACAGACAGCTTTTACAGAAACGGAAGTCCAGGATTGGTATAAAGGATTTGTGAAGGTGAGTGTATTTTATTCACCGTTTTATGTTAGTATCTTTAACTGTGATTAAAATGAATATCTCCTTACCCAAGTGAAGAAATACACTCATTTTTCCTCTTAAACATAAAAATCACGTATAAGGCATACTCGCTTAAGAAGTTGAGAAAGTGAAAAATCAACTTGGAGATGAAAGTTTGTTTTTCTTGAAAAATGAGTGAATGTTCATTATTTGCTACACATTCAGAAATTCATCGCTTTGTAGAATGGCGTGGGACTACTTTTAAGACGAGGCTATGGGTGTAAATTCCTGTTGTATTGAAATAATAAGGGTCCTGAACAGCAAGCCGTCTCCACGGCCGCAGCATGTTCGTTCTGATAGATGGTACAATGTCTCGTTTCATGCCCATGAATGGCGATGTTCTTCCAGGTTCTTTGCGTTCCCCCTCACCTTTTCTGATGTCCTTTGATGATCTTTCTTCTACTTCCAGCCCCACGCATACCTTTGCCGATGACACTACCCTACGCTCCTCTTTGTCCTATTCCTTTTCACACCGCTAACTCCAGCTCCTCCCTGAGTATCTCCCGAAATTCTAATTTTGGTCACATTTTTACGGAGAGCTATTACTATTGTGTTCCCTTTAATGCCGGATATCAACTCCCGCAGCGTGGATTTTGTCAGATCCTAGTCGATTATGATAAACAAAGCCATTATTTTGAAGGAGACCATTATTTCGTCTTCTTGGGCGGCCACAGTTTAGCGCCTGTCCAAGAACTGCCCTGAGTTCATCACGCTGTGCTCGTGACCTGCGATGATTGGTTTCAACCGTTTCCATAGTTTTTTGGTTAACTTGTATGTGGCTTTTTCTGGGAGACCAACGGCCTCAGGAGAATTCCTTCTATATATACCTTCGGCAATCCGTATAATTGTGCGATAAAAAGGTTTTTGGCTCTCATTCTAGGGCGATCCTCTTTGGGTATTTGATGCGGTTCTTCCAGTCGTTTCATTTAGGTATTCATTTTGCTTTCCAGTTTTTCGGTGGTGTCCGTATAGATTCAGTGGTAGGTTTTTGTGTCTTGAAGCAGTTCTTCAGCCTTTTGAATGTAGCCAGTTTTGTCCATGCCCACAGTAATTCTTGCTAGGAGGGTGACGATATTTTTCTCCATCTTCAATCTTTTAAGTGCTTTATCCTCGGGGTTTGATAGCATGTTGAGTTTTATCTTTCCGCATCAGCGTTGGGACGATTGTTTGTCGGATGATTTAGGTGTCGTAAACGGTTTTAAAGTTGGTTCCAATTTCGCCAAGTATTCGGACTATCCTTATCTTCTTTTTTGTGGTCCCCGTATATTCCTTTATTTGCTTCTTGGTGCGCATAAAATCCGCTTCCTCTTCCACACCAAAGGTTTCTTAATCCTTATTCACCTCTATCTTTACAAAGCTCAGATTAACCGTGCACTTGAATATTGCGCTCATGTGTTGGGTGGAACTTTGTCAACATCTGTCTCTTCTTAATTGGATTTAACGCAAGACCATTCTTTTCATTAACTACGACTCTGTAATGCGTAACTTGCAGTTACTAACTCACTGTTTAGCACTCGCTTCTTTATCTTTATTCTATCCATGCTGCTTTAGCTTTCGTTCCACCGGACTTGCTTCTTCCGTCCCTCTCCCACTTGGTGTTCCTCGTAGGTCCCATACACAAGCCTCTCGTCACCCATTCGGATGCATAAAGCTACTATTGACTTGACTTGACTGTCCCCGGTATCGCATTTTTAATTTTCATCTTTTTTCTCCAAGAACAGCACAAGTGAAACACGTCTTCTTTCGGTCTTCCCTCCAACTTAATTTCTTATTTTTAAGCGCAGAATTCACAACCTTGTGCTCACTTAAGTGGTCTCTTCGCCCTCCATGTATGGTTTATGAGCTTTACCCGTTATACTGTATTCACTACTGTGTAATAAAAAACCCCAAGGTAATGAGTATTCAAGATGGCTATTCTCTGACCTAATTTTTACAATGGAGTTGGCCAAGGTGCTCCTTGCCGCATTGCATCTCATTTTCGTCGCATCTTTTCCGCTTCGTGCTTGACAATGTTAAGCCTTGTGCTCCCAACGTCCTACTTCTTTCCTGTACTCCACATGGTTAGCCAAAGGTGGGCAACTAAACACGCCGCACGAAAGTGCAAGATTAATGGTTGTATTTACTGAAACTGCAGCATCGTTTCTCATCTCGATTAATCTGTTGTTCACCGTCTGGCGCCAGTCTCACCAATATGCATCGGACTTGATCTGATACAAATCCCTCGTATCTTTAAACGATTATTCTGTTCTCCTTGTCATGTAGTTATGTGATTTTTTTTAGTTAAACAGTAATTGGAAGGAATTTACAGATGGTCAACTTTTACCTGTCATGAGGGTATGCAAATCTTGACCTCCGGAGGCCTCGGTATGATCGGGGGTGTTTGTCTTGGATTGTGACTAGTCGCCTTTCCTTTACTCCTGACAAGCTGCCCTCTGTACTTCCAATTTTCTCAACTAGCTTCTACTAAAGCATCTCTAATCAGTGCCCTCACATGGCAGTGTTTACCACCCAGATGCGAGAAAAATTCCAACTCACGGCAGTTCCAGACCAACCAAGAAGTGGCGTACGAAAAATATCCATATATTGTTATTTGTGGCAGTGATCACCGCTTTGATTTTGCATCGGGATGTATTAGGCACAGTAATGTAACGTTACCAGCTGCATACAGTAAAGAGTAGAACGCCTTTCCCTGAAATATCTTCATGCCCTCATTCTACCGCAACACGGGAAAGAATTATCGGACAAAATGACCTTCATAATCCAAGTGATCCATTGTTTCATGGAGATTGTATTATCAGGTTTTGGAGTTTTCTGTCCGTTATTTTTCTCCCATTGAGTGTCTTACTTGATTGTTATTCTCTCTCGCATCGGTTAGAGTTTATCGAGATCGATTCATTTTTCTGCTACCGAGATTCAGTATAGGTGTCGAGGGACGCCTGTCGATCACAATTCATACAATATTCTCCATTTACCTTTCGAACCCCCGCTGGTCTAATCTGTTCGGCTTCATCTATCAGATCAACCTTTGTTATTAATCTTGTTTATACTTGTCTCATCAAAAATCTATATATATCTCATGTAACGGAAGTGTACTCACCGGTGTCGAGAATGCAGTAGTATGCATTTCATCTTAACTCTAGAATACACAATTGATTATACTTGAGATACCACAAAATCTATTTTCGGTCAGTTTTTCTCAAAGGCCGTTGAACCTCTGGTTAAGTAGCCTAATACCTAACTAAACACTGATTATATACTCTATCTGTATGAGACTATTCTCAATAGAATAACACAATCTTGTTTTCTTTTTCAGGGAAAATCATATGGTGGTTTATCTTAGAATGAAACATTCATTTTTCTCTCATCTTCGTTTCTTTTCGTTTTCCCAGATTTGCACGGGCACGATTTGAAACCGGTCAGTGCCCTCCTTTATTGTTAAATTATTCCCTGTGATTATACCAATGCTGGAATAAGATACGATAGTTTGTGGTACATCGTTCTATAGTCACGTGTCACGGACAGTGTATCTATCTCATCCATACATTTCAGGACTGTCCCAGCGGACATCTGACTTTGGATGAATTTAAACGGATCTACACAAAATTTTTCCCCTACGGTGAAGCTTCCCGATTTGCGGAATACGTATTTCGAACGTTTGATCGAAATCGAGATGGGATAATCGATTTTCGTGAGTTCCTATGCACTTTGAGCACAACCAGTCGGGGTACATTGGAGCAAAAACTTCAGTGGGCTTTCTCCATGTACGATTTGGACGGGGATGGGTATTTGTCGCGTCAGGATGTCACTGATGTGATAGCTGTGAGTCATTCCAGTGATGGATCGTCGTTTATATACCCTTTTCTAAAACTTGAGTCTCACGCGCCTGTTGTATTCTCCCGTCCGATTATCAGTTGCACTGTGCAAATTCCATTTCCAACTGCAGAGGAAAAGTTCATTTGGTCTGAATAGTTCTTTCATCCGTATGGTTGTATTTATATCATGAGTGATGAAACGTAGGGAAAAATATCCCATTATCAGGAGCATCTGCTATTGGATTATGAAGGTCATTACCGACACACCAAACATTGGAACTTGGAATGATTAACCACACGAAGCCCTCCCATGTGATAAATGTGGTATTGAACCGAGCGACAGATTAACTTTTCTCCAACATGTCTTGACGAATGTTCCAGTGTCTAAAATATTTCCCCTTGAATACCAAAATGTTTGTTTTGCTAACGGGACCTTCTTTGATTTACGTACACATCCACAAGGGATTTTCGTGTTGGTTATACTGGTGTGTTATTCGATTAAATTATTATAATATTTTACTGAGGCCAGACTGTGCCAAAACAAATCATGGTACAATAATATTAAAAAAAGAAAAACTTTCCACGATTTGCATGTGGTCTAAGTATTGCCAGGTTGCCCAGGCCCAGGGCGGGTGAATTTTCTTGAGGAATCCACAACCGGAGCCTTCTGC